AATATTTTGCTGGACAATTTGGAGGCTCCAGGGCGGTCTTTTCCTCATCCCTGCTATCTGTGCCTTAAAAGAAGTACAAGGGAATATTAAAAAAAAATATTGTAGTGAATCCCTTGAAAGCATCCAGCTGAAACTTGGCAGGGTTAATGTCCCCTAAAGGTTCAATCACCCTACTGTTTTTGTCCGCCCATCCATCTAGCTGTGGCTTCTGTTTTTATCCTTCCTCATTGCAACTTATCAGTGAATTGTTTTTTCAAATTGAGTCTCAGCTTGAATTAAATCAGTCTGACATCTTTGAATCTCAAAACTTTAATTCAAATGGAATCAGAGCTGATTCCATTCAATACTATTCTAAAAAAAAAATCTGGAGAAAGAACCAAATAGTTTCTGATTCCAAACATAAAGGACAATCTCAGAGCCATGCCAGTGTTTGTTATACTGAGTAAGGATAGGGCATGATCAAAAATAAGCAAGCAAATGCATATCTGTTATTTAACTGTGATCATTTCATTTCTTTCATCCTTAATTTCATCCTTTTCAGAAACATCATGGGGAGAGATTTTTTTTTGTTTGTGGTTATAGGTAGATCCAGCAGTATACATGAGATGAGGTAAAAAATCAACAAGATACAGTAGTGGACAGAGCACTGCAATGCAAGCCCTGCCCCTTTTGGATGTGTATACACAAGTACAAAGGGGTGGGACTTGCACTGTGATGCTCCATCCATCATCTTCCCAATTTTGACCCCTTCCTACCAACGCCACTGGTTGGATCTTGGGTTCTACCACTAAAACTCAGTCACAAAGATTAAGACACATAACAGCAACATCAAATGCTGTATTGTGAATTTCTTTTGGAAAGAAAAATCCAAGGAGTGTTAATCCCGATTCCATCCAATATTACAGATTCCATCTGATGTTATGAAATTCCCCTGTATTTATAGTTTAATCGTATCCATATCTATAGACTATCCGGTGTAAATTAAACTTGCAAAACCACTACCAGCCAATGTAATATGCAGAGAAGCCAAGTGAGATGAAAGAAGGCGTATGGGCATCTAAGCTGTAAGAAGGGGGAGAAGTGCTAATAAGAGATAATGATATAACTGGAGAGGACTATCAGAAACCGCATTCTCTGCACACA